CAAACATTTTAGCAGGGCCTGTTGCGACAGGACAAGGGGGAATGGTTTTAAACTCAAAGAGGGTGGTTTTAGACTAGATCTAAGGAAGAAATTTTTTATGCTGAGGGTGGTGAAACACTGGCACAGGTTGCCCCGAGAGGTGGTGGATGCCCCATCCCTGGAAACATTCAAGGTCAGGTTGGACGGGGCTCTGAGCAACCTGATCTAGTTGAAGATGTCCCTGCCCACGGCAGGGGGGTTGGACTAGATGGCCTTTAGAGGTCCCTTCCAACCCAAACTATTCTATGATTCTATGATTCTATGAATAATGCCTGTAGAGAACAGGTACAAGATAGCCATCAAACTGTCCCCACCTCATTTACACAGCAGATCTAGCTCAGAGATCTCCATTTTATTGTGTGCTTGGGGTCCTGCAACAGCTCCGTGCCCCCACCCTGGCCCCACAGGGCACCTCTGAGGGTGCACACACTATGCCGGGGCTGGTGCAGCCTCCAGCACCAGGAAGGGCTCAAGGGAACCTTGTGGGGTTTGAAAGAGAGGTCCTTTCTGTCTGGAATGACAGGGTTTGTTTGGTTGGGTGTTGATTGGCAATAAAAATCCCAAAAGTCTGAAATGAAATGAAAATCAGTCCATTTACACTTGTTTTTCAAGGAATTAGGGCATTTTTAGCGCTCTCACCGTAGGGCAGAGGGAAACACCCAGCTTCAGCCTACTAAAAATGAACAGCTTGGATAAGTTCCAGGGGTTTCTTAGCCCACAGGACAGGCATCTCCGTCAGCAGCTCAGCTCAGCTCATTGAACTGAACCCCCTTTTGGCAGGACCAATCCCTCTCCACCAACTGTGGAAGGACTCCCAGCAGCTAGGTGAGAGCACACACAGCTGAAGGTAGGAAGGAGGAAAACAGCCCCAAAGGAGAATGAAACAGGAGTGTTTTCTGGTCTGGCATAGCCCTGTCTGCACTTTCACTGCTCTGCAGCCTTGTCTACTTACGCTTGAGCTTCTTTAGCTCTGCTGTGGCTACTGGACACATGCATTTTGGTAAGGTACGAGGGAGCATTCGCTTCCAGTGTGAAACATCTTAGTCAAGAAGTGATTATGAAAAAGTCTGTTTGAATAACAGCACCTGAGCTTGGCCCACCAGCAGCCTCCAAGGCGCTTCTAAAAGTAAAAGCCGTGTACCAGCTTTTTTACACTGCGAAGCCAAAAGAAATGATCACAAGTGAGCAGGAATAAAAAAACATATAAAACAAATGTAGCATCCTATAATGTATCCATAAAAAGGGAATACTCACACTACTTGAAGTCTACAAGTTCAAGTTTCTCTGGGGAAAATATAACTCCTGTTCAAATGCTAATGGGTTTGTTATCACAGGGATGTTTTAATTTAACTACTAAGTACTATAAGAAGGAGCAGAGCAAGGTTCAGAGAGCAAATGGCTGATGAACAATCTTCAATCTGCCAGTAAATGTTTGCTTTTTTTTTTATATACTTCCCCTTCTTGATCTCTGTCTTAAACAGATTCTCCAAAGGGACATATAAAAGACAGCTGATTTCAGCTAGAGGTAATAGCGCATATTTGTGTGTTTCTTTTATCCTTGTTTAAAATGGTAAATTTATGGTACCGATAGAGTGTCAGCCACCAAAGTAGCTGACCCTGAGAGCATAGAAATTGATGGTATATGAGCAAAAACTGGCTTACTGGAAAGAAAAAATGCAGCACATTTTAGAAAAGTCATAAAGAAAGTGAATTGGGCATTGCAGCCACAAACCATCTCTGCAGGCTTCTCAGGACAAGAACAAACATCTCATGAAGCAAGAGTAGCTTCCAGGGCAGAGGCAAAGGTCGGCCACCCTTTTCCAGGAACACGGCAGCCAGAGCTTGCAAGAGCTAGGCAGGAAGAAGAGAGAAAGAGCCCATGGTCTTTCCTGTGGAAGCAGAAAATCCTTCTTTCTTTTTTCTGGAAACTCTTCTCAGCCAACTTATGAGTGGATGCCTCCACATTTGAAGGTTTTTGCTACCACCTTGCAAAACTATAACTGTAACAAGAAAACTGTCTTGCTGCTAACACTCCCAAACATGTAGAAACACTTTATATGTGTTTTGAGAAGTTTACAGGGAGCACTTGACTGACCTTGACCAGAAAAAGTATGTGAGGGAAGGGAGTGGGATGCTTTTTCTATTAGATAGGAATAAACATTTGTCAGAAGTCTCAGCATCTTCTGCCTGCCAAATGTGAGCCTCCTCTCAGGATCTTCAACATGCTCATGGCATGATGGCCATGATGGCAGAGTCTGTGCTAGGCTCTCCTGGCCAGACAGTTGCTGGTGTCCTCCCTGAATGGGGAGTGGGGTTTGGAGCATACTCAGGTCCATTGCAGGGCAGAACAGTGGGACATTTTTGGACAATTTAGACCTTGCGGGGGTGCTTACCCTCAGCCTACTCATATGCAAGGTGGACTCTGATGGCAGGAGTAATGGCCTGCAAAATCAGTAGTAGCTGCCGGGATACTGGAATGAGAATGACTGGCTAAAAAGGAAAGAGGAAAACTTTGCAGACTAATGAGATTTCAAAGTCTCTGTTCCTATTAGTTTTCACAGTGTTGCCAGAGAGCCTGAAAGTGTATGAGAACAAACGGCATTTGGTCTCAGTGTTTGAAAAATAGTAAAGGGCTGTAGCATCTGTCAGAGGCAATGTGAGCCTGCCAGAACATGGCCCCAGGCTGCATTTGCACCTGGATCCTTGATGCCCATTTGGCCCTCCCCATAGCTTCCTGACTCAGCTCTCCTGCTCGAGTGCCGTGCGCTGGACCATCTGCCGTGCTGGACTTCCAGCCACCATGGCTCAGAAGAACAGTGATGCATCACGGGCTTGTGCAGAAAGGCATGGAGAAGACAGAGACTTAACAGGGAGGGAGCTGCATTCCCGGTCCCTGAGGCTGCCTTACTTACCTCCCCCTGCACCTGTCTTATCTTTGCCTCTTTCTGAAATAAAAGGAATAGAAAAATTAGCAACATGAAAAAGGCAGGAGATGATAAAGAGTATCTGAAAAATTATCTATGTCCTCATTTCAGAGCTTTGCGTGGTAACAGGGAGGCAGAAGGCCTTTTTCTTTATTAATATATTAAAATATTAAAAAGCTGGTTGTCTCCTGAACATACTCTGTTGTCATGCACTGAGAAAGCTCCTAGGAAGTGTTCTGCAGAAGACTATTCCACTTGAGAAACTGTCCAGGGATGCCATTCAAGGACCAGAGCAAATCAAAGCTAAAAGACAAAGTTTGCTATCATACTGTTAATGGGGACTTGGGTCCAGCCTGGACAAGAGTGATATTTGCACCTTTGCTTTTGTGCTGAGACAAAATCTCTACCAATGGGACATGAAGTCTGTCAGGGGTCTGGCTGGAATCGGGAAGAATCAAAGCCACATCTCTTCTGATTTCCTTTAGCTCCTTAGTCTTGAAGGTTTGAGTGAGACCAGTTCCTTGGGAGTGCTGCTCCGAGCAAACCTGAATCTGAGCCAGTGATGATCAAATTTCCCAGAGATTGGGGTGTTTGGTTTGGCACGTTAGTGGTTCCCCTATCAAAATCTGTTCATTCCTTGGCAGTTATCAAAATATGCAATTGTTCTTCTTTGTAAATATTTGCCAATAAAGCAATAAGACTTTGATGCTGCTATAGCTGTTATGTTCTGTTATACCTTCTGCTTGCCATTAATAATGTAACCATGTGGTGGGGCCTTGGTACTCATATATGAGCGTGGCAGCGGGGCTGTATAGCATATATGTGTGTATACACACACACACACACACACTGAATAAAGGTTTCTTTGTTTTCTTTTCCATGGCAGGTCACTATGGAAAGGATATTTATCGAAGTGGAGGGCCAGATCTCCATAATTTCATCTCCTCCGGGTTTGTCACATTAGGAAGAGGACACACGAAGGGTACAGTGGAAACAATTTTTTGCTAAATAAAAAGATTGTTTTAAATAAAAAAGCTATAACTCAGAAGCTGGGTTCTAAGTGCTATGAGATAACAGTATTGGACTGCAGTCAGTAGATTTAGTCTAGCAAATATTGCTGCAGGTAAAATACTGTGCTCCTGACAGAACCTTTTAAATCCTAGCAAGGGAGACGGTGGGAGAGTGTAGGGTCGACAGCCAGACTCCAGACTCCACTCTGACTTTGCAGTTCAACAATTTATACTGTTTGTGTTTTCCTGGGTGCATGGTTGCAAACCACCATTGTGCTGCTGTACTTATAAAGGGAAGGGGAAGGAGTGTAACGCTGTCCAAGGGCAGGCAGTTAACACTTCAAGAGTGTGTTTCTGGATTTCTTTTGTTTGACTTCTGGGCTTTTTTTGGGGGGGTATTATGAATATTTTATAAAATTATTTCTTTTTAGGCCCTAAAACATATATTTTATGTGTTCATATAATCTGTGATATAATGTACAAACATGAAAACACAAAAATATACATATACTGCTCTGTGTATGTTCTGTGTATATGTACTGTATATAAAATATATGTTGAGAGACAGTTGTAGCTATATTAGATAAGTAACCATCTATCCCAGGAGTTGTGGTGACACAAAAGCTGTGAGATCTGACTCAAAGTAGCTGGTCACCAGAACCCCAGATGAATGTTCATTTTATGACGTTGTTGCATATTTGGTGAGTTTTTATAGTGTACAGTGAGACTATGTTTGGAGCGTCTTTCTGTTCACACCCACACCCTGACCGAGTCACGCTGGTGCACTGGCAGTGGGTTGCGACAGTGGGAGTGCAAGCATGTGCCATGCCAGTACTCGTCTGGTTTTGTGTCCTGCTGACTTCTGAGACTGTTGTACATTTATATAGACACAATGTATGTGGAGATACCTATATAGACACAATGTACTGTATGTGGAGATGTGTCCATGTGCTCACCTGGTTGAATGCACCTGTGTTGTTTCTGTGGATGACCATGACACAAATTATTAAAAGACCTTTATTTTTTCGTACATTTCCTGCACTTTTTCAAATTCTCCACAAGTGTCATCCAAAGCAGTGTTGGTCCTGTAGAACTGTCAGAGAAGAAACAAATATATGTATATTGTCTGTGTATGTCTGTGTGTGCTTAAATAAAGTTTACTGAGGCTGAGGCAGCACCCGTGGGACTTGTAATACAATACCCTGCAATTCCAGCCTGGCACTGCACCGGTGGAAGGAAAGCAGAGAAAACCGCCATGAACCTTCAGGTGGGCTGGGAGCTGAAATGGTTCAAGGAAGGACTCATGGACGGCATTTCACACAAGGTCTCCCTTTCTCCTCCCCATGCAAAGGGAGTTTTACAGTCATGTCATATCACATCAGGCCTGACAGTATATTTAGGGTGAGATAGCAAGTGTACCCCAGTAGAGGCATGGTCTACAGTGGTGTGTCCTGATAGCCTTCATCAAGCACATGGATAACCCCAGGCAGGGCCATAAAACCTGCCTCTCTGTCTCAGACATTTGAATTATCTTCAAGCAGTTTTCTGTACAATATACTTTTCCCAGATTCTTCCCAGATAAGAATAAAACCTGCTTTCCTTCTTTAACTGAAAAGTCTCGGGGGCTCTGTTCTTCTGTAGATAGGCCAGTGGTTTTCACACCTTTTCCACTGGCTTTGCTGGAAGCCCCGCAGAGCACATGTCCTATCCCTGGGAAGGTGGGAGAATGGGCAGTGGGAGTCCAGAGTGTTTATATACCATCTCTTCCAACAGCCATCAGATAGAGCAGTGCTTTCCAAAGTGAATAAAAGGCTTTTATTATCTGAAGAAATTAAACTGTATCTTGGCTGTTTGTGGACATAAAAGAATGGACTGGCCTTTGAATTCACTTTTCAGCTACCTGTAAATTCACATTTTATTTTAACAGTACCATAATGTTAACTTCTAACTTCTTAATGGTAAATTCACACGCCCACTCATGACTGGTGCAAGTGATTAACATCTCCACATATTCTGCAGGCAAACTGCCTTGTTTGCTTGTGCAATTGTGTAGATTTGTCTTTGGCTGTGATATGATTTGATTGCCTATTTGTGCTGTGAAAGCAGGGACTTTGGATGTAACAAATGACTTAGAGGCTCTATCATTAGGATTGTGCCTCTATCATTTGATTATTTCTGGAAATATTACACGAAAAATTTCCTGTGTTCAGTTTGAACTGGCAATGCAGTTGTACATGTAGACAAGAGAGATGAGTGCTCCAGCAAGGGTTACAGTCCTGAGCTTTTGCTGAGCAGCTTCATGCTCAGATTTTGTCCTATTTCTGTGTTCCAGTGTCTGTGTTAAAATCTCCACCTCAGCTACCATTAACCAAATAACCTTGCCCTGCCTTGTTGTTACACCACCATGGAAGAGGGTTCTGCTTTTAGATTGAACAACGCCAATGAAGTTTATCTCAATATTTCTTTGCACTGGGAGACACATTTTTGGTGTTTTCTCAGCTGTCTTCTGTGCTGTGGCAGAACTCCAAGTGCTGAGTAATATTTAAGAACTAATCTATTTTGGGCAGAAGACAAAGATGTGAGACATGCCAAACTACCATGGATACCAAATCAGCATATTCACATGTCTGACATCCACAAGCTCCTGCAAGATTGTGATTTATGATTCTTATATGACACTCCATTGGGCAATGCATCACTGCCTGGCATTTAAGTCTATAAAATCACTACATAGTGTGTTCTTCAAACCATGGTAAAAGACTTCACTGTCCATCTGTCATGATGATCTAAGAATGAATCCAAAGTCTTTAGGCCATAGAAAGTCTCCATGGTGAGACACACAGCAGGGCTAATCTGATCTAACATTAGATAGCTAGAAGGTAGACATTTTATTCTGAGGTAGTAACCTTCAATCCCATGTAGAGACACCTGGGAGACACCTGGAAGATACCAGCACCTCTAAAGGAGTGTTCACTGGATGGGCATTAGGCACCTTTTCTCCCCCTCTAGCAAGAGGGGAGCCATGGGGGGGGCTAGGTCTTTTAGCCATCAGAGGAAGGCAGATGAATCCCGCCTGCACTTGCTTGTATAGGAGTAGCTACTATTGCTCCAATTGCTGTGGTAGCTGCTGAGAGAGTTCAGTGCTCCAGTGAAACAAGTAGGAGCACTGAAGACAGGAGCTACCGCATCCCTCTGTGCACTAACCTAATTTAAAAACCAGCTTCTTCAACCTGTTCTCTCTCCGAGCATCTTGCTACTCTCAGATGTCCCAGGTTGCGACTACCCTAACATGGACTGTACTCACTCTCCTGCCAGGGCTCTGAAGAGCTCTGCTCAGTCACACAGGCTGGTGTAGAAACTTACACAGCTGCAACACAACATGGAGCAAGCACCCACGTGGATATTCAACCACAGTGAGTGAACAAGTCTTGAAGAGCAGTAAATTCATTCCAGATTAACTACTCCAGATCATGATTGTTGAGTTTTCGGGTAAAAATGTGATTTTTATTTTGTTTTTTTACTTCCAGCCTCAGGCCTTGAAAATAGTTTCTGAATGGAATTGGGCTCCTTGTATTTCACCAGTCTGTAACAGCAGTAGAAATTCTGTAGAGTAGATGATAAGCCCACTTCATCACTAAACAACTTCTTTGTTTTCCTGGTAACTCTGCAACAGTATTTAAAAAAGTGAGTTTTTTGCTGGAAAAGCATAATTTCCCAGTTGAACTCAGTGCTAGGGGTCAGGGAACAGTGAGGCAGGAGGAATATGGGATTTTAGACTCCTCTACTGAAGGGTCATCTCATAGGGAAAAACAGGACTTTTTCCTACAATCTGCTGGTTTCTTGTAAGTTTATGCCAGATCCTTGAGGAGGTGTAGAGGTAGGGCTGCAACTTGAAAAGCATGCGTGGAAAACTCAGGAAAAGTCAAGTGTCCTCACAGCCTGCCCAATAACACTTTCAGAAACAGAACCTCTCACTTTTGCTTCAAGGCTGCAAATCTTTACTGTTCCTGGATTCACTGGGAGATGTGCTCTGAGTTAGGGCATCTGCAGGAGTTTCTTTTCTTCAAGTATCCCACTAAAATTTGCACCTAGGAAGTTCTCCAGCAGTGCCAGTAGGCAGGAAAAAAAAAAAGAACCGTGTATCCAAGTTAGTGTGATGTGGCTGTTAAAGCCTGACTACATTGCTGCTGGCATCTCTGTGGAGCTGCACCAGCATCCTGCAGTGTGGGCAATGTGAAAACAATGTTGGTGCAGAGAAGCCAGCCTGGTGACTGAGTAATAAAAGCTACCCACAGTCACCTTTTGTCTTGTGATATTTGGTGCAGATATGGCAAGATCTACAGCCTGAATGTGGGATTTGCCTGCCTGGGCCTGTTGTCACTGTCCTGCAGCATGGTTGTACCTCATGCGTCCGCAAAGTGGCTCAGGACACTCTTTTGACGGTACAGCCTTTCATGTGAGGTACAGCTGTCCAGCCTGAGCTGGTTTTGGTTGAGCACATGTACCTGGTGTGTGGGAACATGGTATATGTCCTTTAGCAGGACCTTATACCCAACTAGACATCATACTCCCCAGATACAGCCTCACCCTTTGCCATCTCCTGATAAATATCCCACTCCCTGTTGCCTGAAATGATGCACAGCATCCATGTACAGGCAGAGGGGAAAGTGAGAGGTCAGCTGTTGCTGACTTCTTGCTTGTTCACAGTTGACAATATCTCTCTCAAATCAGACTTTTTTGTGCATATTCAAAAGGAGCGAATTGTTCTTGATCTAGTCCCGCCTTAGAAAATGATCACCTTTCTCTCCCAGGCCATGTACATGTGCATGAGTTGTTTTGAGGACAGACAGACCATATACCTCACGGTGCCAGAAGAGTGGAAGGTGGTTACCACATGGGTTCAAGGTTTGGAAGCTGCAGGGGGTTTTGAGAGTGAGAGGAGACAAGGTGATGTCAGGATGGGAGGGAGAGC